AAATGATCTCGATGTTGCGTGCCATAACCGTGTTTAAAGCAACAAGCCCGCCGTATTGTGGCGCAGCTTATTAGCTGCAGGAGCAGGGGTGTGAGGGGGCGGGTACTCACACAGCATGCGACCCAACTAACAGTAAGGTGCGCGCGCGTCCCCGCTCCCTTGCATGAGTTGCATGCTCTGCTTATGTCTATGCAAAAATATGGAATTTATGTTGTTAAGTTTTCTTTTCGGCTTTCTTGCTGGGCCTCTTATACGCATTGTCGGTCTGAGGACTCAGGGTAATACCATAGTTCAAGTAACATCCATGGCTTTTGTTACTGTCTAATTTATGTCCCATTGGTTGGCCCAATCTTTACTTTTACTTTTTGCAATGAATAAATGTCGCTCAATGAATTTCCATCTGCTCACTTAGACCAGTAGAGGTGTGAATTTTCCTGGAAATTCGTCGTTCACTTCTGACCTCAAGCTTCAACAAGTGTACTAATGAAAAACCACACACCTTCAAGCGTGCGATATTCGTACATTTGGATTTTCAGCATGGGCATTTCACCACAAAATGTAATAGATTTCTATTTTGTTTTTGGCCTGCCTCAAAGATGAATCAGTTGAATCCTTGCCCTTATTTCGTTCTCGTTTTTGTTCTTATTTGCTAAAGCCACGTGTGCCTGCTGCACGTCGTCTGTTTGGTGTGGCGTTTGGTAATAAAGTGGGCCAAGGCGAGAAAAAAAGGACAGCCCTCTTTTTCTGGCCCCCGTGTGTTTACGCGTGCGTCCGTCCATTTTTTTTAGCACATCATGGTTTGGCTGCAACATAATTTTTCAATAACTCGTGGCAGAACGTTGACATGATTCTCCCCATTTCCGCGGCCACGCCTTCTTCCCTGGCCACTACCAAACACCCTACCGCACCGCGATACATCTCTCCCTCTTTCCCCCTCCCCCTACCCCGCGTCGCCGCAAACTCGCCCTCCGCTAGCTCCCAGCTGCCCTACCCCACAGAAGAAGAACCGTTCTTTTTCACACTCTGTTCGCTGCCTGTAGCCGTGTAGCCCTGCTGTAAGCCCACTTTTGTCTTTCTAGGCTGGGATTGTTGGGGAAAGATTAATGCTGGCTTTTGGTGCCTTGAACTTTGCCAACATGAAACCCAGCACGATTCAGATGTTACCTTTTCGAACACTGGTCTTTTCTGAACTCTCTGTTCGGCCCTTTCGTGAGACAGAGATGCTGCAGAGGGAGATAGATCGACATCTAGAAAAACGCATCATTCCGGGATTCCGTTTCCAGCATAGGGGATCGATGGAATTCTGACTTTTTAGCCAAGGGAATTAGGTTTCAATCATTAAATGTTCTAGTTATATGGTCCGGATATGCGTTGCACTGAATTGTGTTGGTTTCCGATTATTGATACTGTACTGTAACTTACATTATTCATCCCCAGAGTGCGGCCCAATTCCCGCATCTCCTCCTCCTCGAAGGCGTGACGCGGTAGATTGCCGAGCGAAGGTGAGTTGTTATTGTGACGTCTGCTCGCCCGCGCCAAACGAGGCTGCTTCGGAATTCGATCGTTCAAGACGTGCGCGCCGGGGATGATGGTGCGCCTCGCCGGAACCATCAACCAAACGGAATGTGTTTGTTGAGTACGCAATTTTACTTCTAGCCGCCGAGACGTGCGCAATAGGGAAGCACATGCTCTCCTTCTTGAACAAGCAGCTCGCAGCTATGCCAATTCTCCACGCGTTGTTACATATTTTTGATTTTTAATATAAAAATACACTTTCAAGTTTCTAGTTTCTCCTGGCCTTTCTCACGAAGTTTAGACCTCTTCCTAAAATCGCGAAAAGGTACTAACGAAATACGTAAAACCAGGCTTACTTTTCCGAAAACCCACAAGAACCATGTCCACCTTTATTCTGGGCTGTCGGGTCGGGAATGGACCAAATCCTAGTGAGAAATCGGAACGTGGATTCAACGTCCAATCGACGTCGAAATATCGAAAAGATGTGGATTTGGGAGACAAAATGAGGATTATTCGACTGTTTCTACGTCGAATCGACGTTGAAGAAAACTCATTTCTCACTGGGAAAGTTGCTCCCTGTAAACTCGTTCCATGATGCTAAAGCATCGACACAAATCAATCTTCGTCCTCTGGGGAGCCGAATGCTTCTTTCGCCCCTCGCCCGCAATTGATAAAATAAATAAGGGCTTTTCGCGTTGTTGCTCTTAACGGTCGGATGGCGCCGCCAAAGCGGGGCGCGCTGCATCTCAATTCAGTTGGCGGACCGAACCTCGTCGAACCTCGATGGAAGAGAAGCTTACAGATCGCACGCCATCCCACTCGCCGCCGTGAGTCGGGCAGAAGAGGCGTATACCTGGAGGATCACACATCATAAGAGGGACGAGTCATTGTAACATTATTCTTACTTCATCAAACCCTTGTCGTAGTAAATGACATTCGGACCTCGCTCTAGAGTCCATATTCTACTCAAACCCTAAGACTGCGTCGGGCTCTGCACACATGTTTACTTGCAGAGAGTGTATAATGTGAGTCAGAAGGGAAAAGGGGGGGGGGGCAGTAAGTGTGAAGACGGTGAAGACGCAACGGAAAGAACGACCCAACCAGCGGCGGAAGACGCTCGTGGCGTGGCCAGGCGTGGCCGGGCGTGGCGTCCCTCGGGACCGTATTATTGGCCGACGCGTTGGCGGCTAACAAGGCCCTTCTCCCCGGCGCCGCGCCCACGCGCCGTCCCTCTCGCATCCCTCTTTCTTCCTCTGTGCTCCCTCCTCCTTCTCTCTCTTACTCCCCCCCCACCCCCTCTTTCTCCATCTCACTCGCACACGAGCAACGCGCAGGCTACGATAGGGGTGGACCGAGAGAGAGAGAGAGAGCGAGACTCGGGGGTAGAGAAGAACACATTCTGGTGTCGTATACTGTGGGTGCGCTGCGGCTGCCAACATGGTGGTTACTACAGTGACCCCCCTACCCCCCCTCTCGCTCTCACACCCCTGGCGCGCGTTGAATAAGTAGCCGACACCCGGCAAGCCGTTGTGATCATGAGGGGAGAGCGAGTTGCGCACCATGTAGAAGGAATGAGACGAATAATCGTGACGGCGGGTGCGCGAGGGGACGGGCGTGTTCTGGTATACGTCTTTATATCTCGAGGTTTTCAAATAAGCACCTGACGAAGGACCTACATAATGATGACACTGTAACCGGAACAATGTCGTCGTTTTTTGTCCTTGGTGAAAAAATCAACTAACCCAATAAAATTCTGTGCTTTCAAAATACAGTACACGGCTAGAAGATCCGTGCCACGCCTTTCTCGCACCAGGCACAAAACCTAAAGTGAAGAGGGAAAGAGCCCGGAGACCTCCTCGTCGAGTTTTAAGGACGTGCTGGCACGCAGCATGTAGGCGTGGGGGACGCTGCAGTGTGAGTCGCTGCGACCCGGGGGAGCACTCTCGAGGATAATCCCGCTATCAATTTCTAGCTCTGGCTTGTGGAGCAACGTGCAGCCCGAGCAGGACCACTGCCGCCCGCCCCGCCCCACAACAAGCTGCTCCCCCCCTCCTCCCCCCATCCTCCCCTTCCTTAACTCCCTCAAAACTATATGCTTTTTTCCCTCTTTTCGATGTTTCTGCTTCGAAAAAAAAAAGGTAGACTATATTTTATAAATTGCATGAGGTGTAAGCACTGTGTGGGCTGGGGCAGCCTTCGGTTATTACATATTCATACGGAAATGAAATCATATCAAGAAATAGGTAAAATCACATCATGTGCACTCCCCTGGGTCTTCCGCTGCTTATAATTCACTTAAACCCGCAACTCTATGGCGGCGCGGGCGGCTCACGCCCGCTCCAACCCTCCCTCCCGCCGACCGCCCGTCTTCTCCCTCCTGCCCTCCTCCTCTCATCCCTCTCATCTCTCTCTCTCTCTCTCTCTCGGACGTGAAGCAACTCTACGCGGGACACCCAAGAAACACCAACACGTTTTCTATTGCTCATGTCTCTTTTTATGTGCCGAGTCAAGGCGCTTGTTTGCGGCTGCTCCTTTATCTCCCATTCCCTTTGCGCCACACGCGCCGAGCGCCGCCCCCCTTTCTCCTTTTCCGCCTTTCTCCCTTCTTTTTTGTAGCTACATATCGTTGGCCATCCGGATTGCGCCTCGCCTCACGCCGCGTCCAGGACATGGACCGTGAAAGGAGGCGATCTCAGGTGCGGCCGCGGGTGGGATGGGGCCGCGAGCAACCCGGGGCGCGTGTTCGTTACAAAATGTAGGCGGAGGGGCCAAAGCAAAACACGCGGCATTCATCAACGGGGACATTTGGGAACCGAACAACACGAAGAGAAAGCGCGCCCTGCTGTGAGAACGTAAATGAGAGAGTTCTGATGTGCGCTCGTGTGCGTGTGTTTTTCCCAACAGCCCTAGTTGGTGCCATGAAAGAACACTTTGGGACGCGGATAAAAATGGAAATGAGTCGCCGAACAACAATAGTCGCGGGTGCAACCTCTGCAAAGTAGCGTCATTCGCGAGAAAACGATCCTGACGCCCCCGTGTGTGGGAAAGACAATCCGGCCAGTCTCCTCACACGAGCGCGCGCGCACGCCGTGTTTTTTCCCCCTCCCTGGCAGTGTGTCTCTTGGTGCTAAGCCATCTCGTGTCGCGCCAATAAAATTGATCTCCATTTGGCGAGCCCGCAATGGATGTCGGTGGTGTTCCTTTTTTTTTTATTGCTGCTTTTTTTCTCTCCCTTCCGCTTGCCGCCGCGTTGAGACGACTTTTTCGCGAAGGCAGTTTCATCGGCACTCAGGTCGATGGCTTCATTTTCCGTCTCGCCGCCACAACGGACCCAAACAGACACACTGCATGCAAAGTGGCGCGTCTGCCGGTACTATTGCGTGTTGCGTGTGTGTGTTGTGAAATGATTGTCATTAGTTTCTGTAAGTAGGCTGTAAACTTCAAAACAATAGGAGTTGCGGAACGTTACTGTTAGAAATCACGTCTCAGAAAAGGCTTAACAATTGTATTTCATGTACAACAAATTGAATATGCATGCCAACAAGAATCTCGTTTGATTGAAAAGGAACAACTTAACTGAACAATAATAATTTATACTTACACTTAACAATGATTATACTTGAAGATTAATTTACATTGAACTTACATATTTACAACACCTTCTCCCCAAGATCGGAGTTCTAAGACTATGAATGCTTAGCTGTACAACATCATGATTATCAGACAATAATCATTCTTACTATAAAATCGATTTGATAAAATTTAATTGGAAATCAAAATCACGATATTTTTTTTCTTTGTGTACCATAAGTGAGACGACAATAGAGGCACGTATAGCTATGAAAACCTTCAGGATTTTGCGAGCTATTAGTTATGAAAGAAATGTAGTCCTATAAATGACACGTAATGGAAAGAAGAGTGAAGCAAGTAGTATCTCGCGTTATCCGTATTCCCTTTTATAGGTAAAAGAGTTTATCTAGTCTGAGTAACTTGAAACAATGCAGTTTTCACTTCATTTGCGTACTGATTTTCCCCGCCTGCTTTTTCTCAAGGCACTAGTTTGCCCTCGGACTGACCCGCGGGCAGCAGTGGTCCGTAGATTTGGTGGCAGGTAGAGCAGTCCAGACCCATCTTGTTGGGAGGGAAGGGCTGCAGTGGATCGCGGCCATCTGAGAACAAATCATAAATCCTTCTTATTTTGAAAAATAAAGTAACCTTTTATGATGGAGGATCACGATGATTAGCCTCTTCGCGTGAAGCACCCGCACTTCCACGAAAAAAATAATTACTAATCTTTAGACGCGACCAGTTTCGGACACCAAAACACGGAAAAGTCAAATGAAAGAGGGCGGACCGGTCTCCTCATGCCGCCATAACGAAGGGAGCGTTCTAAGGGAGACGCCACCCCTCCACCTAGCACTCTCTGCACCGCACCCTTTGGACCGCGACTCAAAGGGCCGGGAAGCGGACACCTTAATTGGGGATTTAGAGTCGTGGGCGGCTCAGTGCGTGGAAAGATGAGGTCACGCTCTCCGCTCAACTTTCAAAACACACGCACGGGTCTCCCCCCCCCCCC